CTCCTAAATGTTACACACTGCACATTTAAATCATAATGGATCGGGTTGGTTTCAACCTAATTGTAAGTTTTTATAATTGAGTTCTTCACTGCTTAGGGTTTTCTAAGCATGTAGGAGAAACTAAGGTAGCAACTCTGGGCTACTGTATAAACATGGTGGATCGACTCCATGGAAGAGGACCCGCTCCCTCCCCTATAGATTTTATAGATAGGACTTTTTCCACTGAGTCTCACAGTTAGACTATATGGATTAGACTCAATGCACACACAGAGGACTTTGGGTGTGCCTTGATCTGTGAATGCCTTTATGCAACACCTTCACTTCTTAGTCCTTTCCACTGGTATAGTGGAAAATATACCTCCATCCTCTTCTTTTGCTGAGACATTGATTTTAAATACCATACACGTTTAATTCAATTTCTGTTCAGGCAGCAGCACACAAAGACTGAATTGGCAGCATGCCCTTGAGGCATGAGTTGGATTATAACACACAAGAATCTAAAAGATAAATACACATCAAAACATGAATTTCTTAACAGCAGCTGCATTCAGCTCGATTCACTGTGTAACCACTCACTAATACACCTTTCTCACGGCAAACATGTTGACTTGTCAAACACAAGTGGAACTAATAACATTAATAATGACGATGGTATTGTGCATGATAGTTTATTGGCACACCTAAATGTAACAGTGCCATCATTAAAGTCATTAGTTACACCTGTGACTCTCCTGCTATGGCAATTCAAAATATTTGCAGTGATTATTATCTATTGTATTGCTCAGTGCATTAAAATGTATCAGCTTGTCCCATCTCTGTGCTTGTGCACATTTTAATGGTTTTCTGACTCGCTGTCCACCTCCTTTCTTATAAGCCTAAAGATCCCAGCCACGTACATTAAAACGGCAGATAGAATCTTGTTTGCTTAGTCACCATTAAATTGATTTGATGGCTTTGATGTTTAATATTTGGGAGTTTCTTCTTTTAAATCCTGACAGGAGAGCGCAAATGGGATTAACAAGGAGGCATAAAGTCCTTGATTTATGAATAGTTGTAATCACCAACAGTGCATTATGGAGGTGGATGGAATTAAAGCAGTGTTAACATTTAAGAGATGATGCTTAACTGTGAATCCAGTCTAAACGTATTGCTTTCTCTGATGAAAGAAATATGTTAAATACATTCAAGGGTTTAGGTTTGGTTTCAGGCATTTTTACAGTTACTGTATACAGTTTAGTTTACTTCATCTTGCTGGTTTTTGGGTAAGGAAACTCATTAATTCTGTAGCTTTTGCTAAAGGTACATTTAAATCAAAAGTCAAAATATGATGACAATGAATACTTAATAAATAATATCATCAAAAAATAACGTTCATGCACCAATTTGTCTTAAAATCATGTATAGTTTCCTTGATAGTGATAATGCATAATCTTTTTCTTACATCTTTACATACTGTCGTGCTTTTGATTGATATATTGTCTTTTTAGAAGAATTTTAACTGTACCTGACTAAAATTCTGATTAAATTTAGATTATTTTTAAATCTGAAAACATACAGAGGAGGTGTCAGTACTTTCTGTCCTGAAAAAATGTCTGCAAGTGTTCCCCTCAGGCTCCATCCGGTGCCAACAACCTCCACCGACAAGGTATGTGGCCTGAGAGGCAAAACCCAAGGTGAAAAAAAAAAGACAGAACATCAGGAATTTGGACATCAGAGTACTTAGAGAGTTAATGATAATGAACCTGACACAATAAAAGTGAGGGGGATGCTCCCCTCAATCTCCAGTGGAAATTACGTCCTTATATACATTAATTCAAACATCACTAGAGGGCAGTATCTTCAATCCGTTTTTGCTGATATTATAAAAATTATAAATAGTGTTTCACTGCAACTCAGTGTGGGCTGATTCTGAAGTCAAGCAGCAAAATATGAGGGAGAAACCTTTGATTAAGTACCCACCTGCAGTGTTGACTGTCACAACTTCGCTGAATGGGCCGGTGCCCAGTTTGTTTTGTGCCAACACACTGAACTGGTACTCTGTCCCAGGCTCCAGCCCTGGCACCACCAACCAGGTTTGAGCACCAGAAACTGGCATCGAATGCCAGTCGTGAGGACCAAAGTCTGTTCTCTTTGACCTAACAACAGAAATGAGACAGAAAAACAGAAAAAATATACATGATTTCAGGATCACAAGACAGTTTTAAGTGAGTGGGGCCTGAAGGGTCTGGCACCGAATAGATATTCTCTGTTTCTTTTACTTGTCTTTCAAGCACTTCATGGTCTTGCACCAGCCTGCTTGTCTAATTTTCTTGCAGTGTATAAACCAGCACAGCCCCTCAGGTCCTCTGAGTCTTATAGTTGTTCCAGAGTGCAGGACAAAAACTTCTGGTGAGGCAGCTTTTAGTTTTTATGCTCTGAGGTGCTTTAACAGTCTGCCCGAGGATCTGAGATCATCAGTAAGCGTTTATATCTTTAAACATAAACTTAGAACTTTTAGCTTATACTGTAGCTTTTGATTACAGTCTCTAATGGCCCTTATTTATTTAATTTAATCTTTTGATATTAATTTATTAATGTTTTAAAATGTCTTAATCCCTGTTATCTATTTTATTTGATTTATTTATTTATTTATTTTATCTTTTTTATTGTTCCTTTATTCTATTCCTCTTATCTATCTTATTGGTTTTATTATTACATTTCCATTATTTGTATTTCTTGTGTGCATTAGTATCAAATTATTTTACTGTTTATATTTGTACTCTCTTATTATCAGCTTGTCAGCTTGTGTGAACTATACTATACTCGCTGCATGTCATCTGATATATAATGAGCAATAAAAGACATACATACATAAGAGTCTAATTCTGTGCATGATCCATTTTGATAAAGATACAGAAAAATAGAAATGCACGGCAAGAATAGCATATTGTCAATAATTTAGAGACCATACAAAATTTAATTTTCATCAAAACATGTTTTCTGAGGAGCTCATATCTTATTAAAGCTGCAGTAGGTCATTTTTCTAAAAATATTTTTTGTAATTTTTACTGAAACTTTCTCTATATCCTGACAGTATATAGTACATCAGACAAGTAATCCTCTGGATGATTGTAGTGCTCCTGGTGGCATTTTTTGCAAGAATCTACCAGGCCTCAGTAAAAACAACCAATCAGAGCAGAGAAAGACAGTTGATTGCTGAGTCTCATTCCCAGGGCATAAAATACAGACACTTTGGGACTCTGCGGATGAGATACAATAATCAACTAGCTTCGAGCCTCCAACCCAAAGCGACTTTATATGTTTCTTGGTTCTGTTTTATTGTTTTCGCCCAGGCCCGTTGGCTCCTTGCAAATGCCATTAGGAGCGCTAAAATGAGCCAGAGAAAATAGATTTTTTTTACAGATTATCTGTCTCGTGTACTACTGCCAGGACAAAGTGAAAATTACAGCAAATATGATAAAAAGCTATTTTTTTTTATAAAAGTTACCTATTACAGCTTTAAAAGAAGCCAACCTCCCCTGGCTCGCCTGTAGTTCACATGCTGACTAACCTGTATGAAAGTAGCTATACAAATTAAGTGTGATTGATTGATTGATTGATTGATTGATTGATTGATTGATATATAATGACAGTTAAATGAAAACAGGGTAATGAAATAAAACATTGTAATAGTCAGTCTTGAGCAGTAGCAAAGTAAGTGCCTGTACTGTCAACGTTGTCATTATCCTTTAAAACTGGCTATAAATGGTTTCGTCTGCAACTAGATTAAAATGTCCACATGTACACAAAAATGTCTGTGAAATGTGCATTGTTTGGTCAATACTACCTGTTTCAATTAGTCTGGTCAGCTTTACATTGTAAAGGGAACATTTTGTTCTTATTGGTGGTTTGCCAGAAATGTGAAGCCAATTCCTGAATCGAAAGCATTTAATGAAGTTTGATTTTTCACTTCAAATATTGACAACCTTCTAACTTTTTTGATTACTTGAATGATCCCTGTGGAAATAAGGTCACTTCAGCAAGAAAGTAGTAATCTAAAATTTACTTGTATGAATGTAAACTAACCTACTTTTGTCAGATATTGACAAGATCTATCTGTTATCAGTGCAGCCGTATACACCACAAGCCACTGATCTTTTGCTGTATTTACTGGGCTATAATGTGACATGTATTTAGCATATAATTATCTCTTACTAAAGTTATTACAGGGCTCATAATTTTATAGTTTCAACTCCATGTGAAACGTTATTCCACATAAGAAAAGTCGGAAATGTCCTTTTTCTAATTTTTACAGTCAACAAATAAATTTATAGAGGTACCCAGACAGATAATTCACTCACATGCATCAAAATGTTTAAAAAACGCTCTCTGTTCTGACTACAATGAGGTGCATATACACTCCATTACTTACTCAATACACACCATGAATTATGCACATATACATTTACTGAATACCCAGAGAAATATGCTGTCAAAACAATTCTGCTGCGAGCTTCTGATTGAATTTCATATTGCATCATCATCAGTGAAAAGGGGATGAAAAAAAAAACAAGCCTGCTCGTACTTTATGGCAAACTAGGCCGATAACCTCCAGGTAGTGTTTCCACATCTGCAGACTGCTGCCATTGATTTGAAGTTAAGTAAGAGCACTTACACTGGACCGTACCACACAGAGAACGTCTGTTCGAAGCCGCCATCATAACCTGGTTCCCAGGACACATTAGCAGAGGTTGTTGAGGGCAATACGTGGATATTGCCAGGAGCATGTGGGCTGGTGCCTGAGTGGTTTATAGAGACAGAGAGAGGGGATGAATTTAAAAAGTACTAATTTACTTATCAGATTTACAACTACTTACAATTATCGTTTAATATCATTTGCAGCAATGAAACTATACCTTTGAACATGCATAATGTATTAACATTTTATTCACATAACTTGTCATTATTTAAATCAGACTCTGGCTCATACTGATTGAGTTCATGTCACATTATGCACCACAAGTCAAACGAGTAGCATTTTGTTGGTGTTTTAGCCCCAAAATGCTGTGCTGCATCATGTGCCTGCCTGCTCTCGGGAGGATACTGTGATACTGGCTGAGGTGGTGACCAGTGTAAGGTCAAGTTCAAGAGCAGCAATGCTGTCTGCAGCTCTGCTCATCCCATCCACCTAACAGCTGTGCCATGTGGCCCGAAGCCGCTTACTTCTCACACTGGGATAAAAGAGAGACCTGAGCATGGTCTGAGGAGCACAGCTGTGACACCTGTCAGCTGAAGGTTGGTCACAGGCAGGCAGGCTGAGTGCTGCCAGCTGTGCGACAGTAACGACTCCAAAGGCACTGGGGCAGTGGGCTACTGGGGCAGATTTAGTGACCTGATCACAAAACCCAAACTTAAAGGAATAGTTCGACACACTTTCTTGTCTAGGTTCTGATGAAAAGACCACTCTCATATCTGCACATTGAATATGAAGCCTGTAGACGGTTAGCTTAGTAAGAAATTAGCATAAAGTAGCTCAGATTAAATAAATTAGAAAGACTGTGTCCTGAGTTCAACACTGACACATTGCGTTTTCCAGCCTTTTTGCAGGGACTAGTATAAAAGTATAATTGTAATTTATACACGTTATATATAAATCTATATGTCGAATTTCATATGTGCACATGAACATTTTATTAGTATACAAAAGTAACTGCATTTTCACTGCAGTGCTTAAGCCTTTTCTGCGTAATTTGAGTATTTAAAGCATGCTATCTTATTGTAAAGGACAGAAGTACAGTCCTAGATGTGTTGACAGCATAGATGTTGATTTAGCTGACTCACTCCAAAAGTAAAAAGTTAGATTTTTACTACTTTTACACCATTTAACTGAAAACATTACACAATCAATTGTATTAGTAATTAAAGTGCAATCTTAATAGAATGTTAGCAAAAAAAGTAACTCAGATGACGCTAGATATAACATGTTAATTAGTGAGCTTTAAAGGTGCTGGTATTTATGCTAAGCGGCTCTAGCTTCATATTTAATGTACCGATGTGAGAGTGGTATCAATCTTCTCATCTGACAGAATATGTCTCACAGTGCCTATTCCTTCAAACACATCTACAAGTCCTTTAAAAAGACAACAATATTGTAGTTTTAAGGAATACTCACAAGTACTGCTGTGCTCTTCCCTGTGCAACAATGTAATCATATAGCTCCTATATTTATCCATTTGTCTAGCCTACAGGGGTTTAATATTTGATCCTCAACAGATTTTCGATGGAGTATTCCTGTAACAGTCTGGACTAGAATCTGAAAATAACAAACAAATTTAATAAATGATTCCGCAGGGAAGAGCAATGTGTGTATAATGAGTGAAAGGAATGCCTGAAAGCACAAAGCATCCCCAAAACACAAGACTATTGTGCCTCTCATTGCTATGCATATGTATATTTTACATCATTCGCATAATTTCCCATAATAATCATGTGTCGATGTAGGATGTATTTGATCTGTATATATATATATATATATATAGTTACATATGTATATATTTATATTTTTTTGTGTTGAATGTTGTATATATATATATATATATGATAGTATATATATATGTTGTTTGTATAATATGTCATTTGTATATCATGGAGTGTGTAACGAAAATAATTTCCCTCTGGGATTATTAAAGTATTTCTGAATCTGAATCTGAATCTGAATGAGGCTAGGCACCTCTGGAAGCCAGTTCAGTGAGGCTTTGTGCAAAACATTTACAATGACATTTATCTTCAAAGTCTAAAAAGTGGCTGCTATCACTGCTGTAAAGACATTGTCACAACCTAAGCTACCAAAGGGCATAATCAGTGCTACAATCTCAAATTGGATCAGAGAACACTACAGTCATTAAGGCTACTTAAAGGCACCATGATTAGTTATTAAAATCTGAACCCTTCAGCTTGCATTATAGATATTAATAGATATCTACAATTATTATTATTATTTATATATAATTATAATAGATATAGATACTATAATAAATTTGAGGTCTTGTTGTACCACAACTTTTATACATACAGAGAATTTGACTAACAACTAACTAACAATGCAATCATGCATCTAGACCTTCGTTGTTAAAACTTCATAACCCTGCTCGCCTTTGTTGAAACTTCAATTTAAGCGTAAAATGATGTCCCTGGTGCATTGATTCAACAGACAAAGGCTGTAGGGACAGTGCTTTAGCAGACGTGTGGATACCACACTGTAGTTGCACATTCAGGTTTTAAATTAAGCTATTACAGATAAGATCTAATGACGCCGAGGGGATATTGGGTAGAGGCAAGGTGTTTCAGGGATTATGGTCTTCTTCATGCAACTCACTCAAACCACACAGAAAATCGGGATCACAATGAACTCAAATGAGAGGTACGTTGTGTTGACATAAATAGAACTGTGAGCTGAGAGCACTGTGCAGATTTTGTGTACCGATGACTAGGATACGCGTGCTGGCAGTGATGCTTGTGACCACATTGGTGGCTACACACTCCCATTCTCCATGGTCCTCCTTGCTGAGGGACAGAAACTGTAAGCTGCCACTGGGTAGGATGTTGTGCTTACTCTTGCTTGGCTTCCCCACCTTCAATGGACACGGAAATTACAGCGACATGGTTAAAAAGTGCAAACAACACATTAACAGGTAGAAACAAGTGTAGAAGATAATGTGTAACTTATTTGTTATCTGTCCGTCTACTGCACCTTTCTCCAGGTGATGGATGGTATATCAGGGTCTCCAGAAGCAGCACAGGGGATAACTAGCTCTCTCCCAGCCTCCTGACGGTACTCCCCCCCAGGCCTCACATTAAAGTAAGGGGGATCCTGGATAAACACATAAACACCAGACCATCATGCAGACTTCTGGGCAGATAAGTCTATCAAAAGACATGCAGAATAGGAAGCAGTGATGTACCTTTAGCACCAAAGTGGCAGGGGGGGACATGCCCATGGTACCCAGGGCGTTGTAAGGCACACAGGTGTAGGTGCCCAGGGAGTCTTCTGTGGCCTCCGCCACCCGGATACTTCCATCTGGCATCAGGCTCCAACCGGGGTACTACAAGACAAGGGGGGCATCTGAAATGCTTGATTTCAGGGTTTTTTTCCTGAAATCTCAGGGTCCAACCTAAATGTTTTTGAACTGCAAAAGAAAACAAAAATCCCCCAAATTCCATTTAAATCAGATGAATTGGAAGTGAATGCTTATACGTAGCTGACCTGCCCTCGACAGCATCACAAAATGTCGTGCGACAGTAGATAGACAGTAGAAAGCAGACAGTAGAAAGCAGACAAAGACAGTGACACATAGAGAGCTCTGAGCAGAGGGATGGATAATGCTGAAATGGTAACAAAACTGTGACAGTAGTATTTGTAGCCAGGATATTAATTGCTAAAAGATACTGTATTTTAAAAGATCACTGGACACTTCTGGATCATTATCTCTGAACAAGCACAGTTTTAATCAACAGTGTGCTGTAACTTTAACAAAACAAAAGCTGTCACAGTGGCAGCAAAGGACAGTGGTAGAAGCAGTATGCAGATCATTTACCTACATAGAAGTACTGATATTATAATGTAAAAATACATTACAAGGAAAAGTCCAGAATTCAAAATCTTACCTGAGCAAACGTATTTAGAGTATCAAAAGTATTAGTACTCGCTCTGAATAAAACTGGCCACTGTGAGTAATATACTATTGTATATGACATTATTGGACTGTCAATACTGGTGCATCAAAGTGCAAGTAACATTTTACAGTTGTAGCTGGTCAAGGTGGAGCTAGCTCCAACTTTAGTGGTTCCCACTTGGGGTCGGGAACCGCCGAGGGTCACAAGATAAATGTGAGAGGTTGTGAGATGATTAATGGGACTGGAAGAAAAACTAATTTCTGCTACACCGATTTGTATTCATTTATGGATTTTTATCTTTTTCACATAATTTCTATATTATATTAGATACTTTTACCTCTTAGGGCCTCAAACCGTTATTTAAATGAAACCATCTGAGAACATTTAGAGCAGAAATATCTCTCTGGTGGAACTGCTAACAACTCAAACACATCACTTTAATAACTAGAAATCGCTTTTTTGTAAGAGGTCACAAGCTATAAATCTTGGGAACATCTGGGTCACATCTGGTTTATATATAAGCTAATCTTGTGTTTCTTATGTAAAATCTTACTCTGAAAAGTGAAAAGTAGTGGATAAAATAAAGTACATAAAATGTAAAGACACTGTGATTAACTACAGTTAACTGTTCTGCCTACATGATGTTACTACTGTGTAGAATTTTCAATGCTAGTATATGTGTAAAAAGATTAGACTCTCATTTCAAAAAGAATTTCCTGTCATAAAAATGAAGTAAAACACACATAACAGTATGAAACTATTACTTTCAAAATATGGCGTCTCTCTACCTTCCAAGCTGTCTGTCGGTTATGTCATAAATTCTTAACACTTTATGTCCACATTCATCACATGGGTCTAATAATCAAAATGACTCCTATACTCATTGAGGCACTAACCTGCTCTTCTGTGGTTTAAATGTTCTGTTATTAAATCTGCTGTTTGTGTATCAATTATATATTATTAATCTTGATCTAGCATATCAAACCCAACATGTTTAAAAAGAAAATGTCATGTCCACATTTTGTCTGGGCTGAGCTACCTCTCTCATCAACTATAGCACAGCACAATCATCCATCTTGTCAAACTAGGAATCATTTTCACACAACCACGTATGACATTGCAAAAAGCAAATGGAGACATAAATAAAAACACTTTACGCCCCCAACACGCCCCCATTTAGCAGTTAAAGGCAGCATATAAACATGTAATAAATTATTTATAACAAATTATAATGTAGTTGTAAGCTTGCTTAAAAATGTCCTCATATTATGGGACTTTAAGTAAAGTGTTACACATAAATATACCAACGTAAAAGGGTTACAGTAAATGTACTGTAACACAGAGAAAGGAGACTTAACGAAGCCCTGAGGCAGACTAACCTTCTCCACTCTGAGAGGATAGCCGTCTTTCTCCCACTTCACTGATGTCACAGGTGGGTTGGCGTCCACAGGGCATCGGATGATGCCTGGCAGTTTCCGTGGGACGTAGATGACCGGGGGCATGTTGATCACTCGGGCAGGGTCTGGACGTAAAGGGAGGATCAGTGTTAAAGATGCTGGATACAAAATCAATTATATCTGCGTCAAATGTTTGATATAATCTAATGTGCAAAGAGATTTCACAGTAGAAATCGAACATGTGGTGGATTACTTGATGGAAAAAAGACCAAGGGCACAGCCGTATCAAGCATTTCAGAGAAGGAAATCACTACTAAGGCATTTTCAGTCCTACGTTTAGGACTAAAAGTAAAAGCATTTCATCAACTTTCCATCTCGGCCAAAAAGCACTCCAGAAGTGTCCTAATCTGTTTCCAGGAGAATCTGTTCAGAGATATCCTCTGAGAGGAGAGATGTTCTGCTTGATGATAATGAGCTTATTGAAAGATCGCTTTGACAGAAACAGAATCATTTTTTAAAAGTGACTTTGTGTAGGATGCAGAAGGATACACATGATATTCCCTCAGAAATCGATAACGTTACACCTTTTTCGAATACGGGATGCACATCTGTGTAACAAGGTTGATTCTGTCAGAACCAAAAATCATACAGTAAAAAAAGTCATACATCTAACTTTGATTGCGTTTTTGTCCGTAGTGAGAACGCACTATACCTGCATAATGAAGAATCTCAACTTAATTACAATAGGTAAAATTGAATATGGGTCTTATATATCTAACTAATTGTTATTATTTTCAATTTAAAATAATAGCAGGGCTATAATATTTTAGAGTTGTGTTATATATTTTTTTACAGTGACATTAAAGACATATTTTCTTTGCTTGTAGGGAACATAAAAAATGGAAAGATTATGCTACAGCTAGACAGTGAGTTTTCAACATCAGTGCTGCGTGTGCAGTTTGTGCAAGATGTGGTGTAGCATTATTATAGGTTGTAAAAGGATACAGCGTGGATGTAGCGGTGTCAAATTAAATACTATTTTAATTTACATATAGACTACACTTATCCTTTAAACCAGGTAAATGGTATGCCAATATTTACATTCAAAATAGCATATTTGTAAATATTAACATGAGTTTTACTATATTTTTTCATCCTATTTTTGCATGTATAATCTGTATCTATAAGGAAAAAGCGTGCCTATTTTCTGCATTTCCTGCTCATAATTTCTTCTTTGCAGCTCTGCAGCGAGGAGTCATCCTTCTCTTTGCTGAAAGTAACTGTAGGATGCTTATTAAGTTACTCTCAAGCCATACTCTGAGTATTTGTAGCCCTAGGTTAACTTTCAGCACAATTCCTGAGATGCTTGATAAAAAAAGGCCCAGAGTATGTTTTGCATGAAGCATCCAGGACACTGGTTTAATTATGGTCTGCTGTATTTGAGGCCAGTGATGAAATAAGTGCCTGCAGTGCTGTGAATCCCCCAGCTCTCTCTCTCATACTGTAGTGCAGTAATCAATGACCAGCAGCAACTTGGGAGCAAATTAGCTCAACACACAAGGGCTGACGATGAAAAGTCACATGGCCAGGAGTGGCGTTTCTCTCTCATCGGTCAGAGCTGATGAACAGGAAGGTCACAGTTTCATTTGGCGGGAAGCCAGATTCAAAAGAGACCAGGAAAAATGGAGTCTGAGGATGAGAGGGTCTCCATCTTTGTGCACAGGAATGAGGCTGGAGTTGGAATAGATAATAATTATATCATTAAAATCCTCAGAATATGAAAATGGTCAAAGAGGCTTGGTGTGCTCCCTCTCTGTCATGTCTGACCTTGAAATTCAAGAAGGTTACTTTGCATTACAGCGGTAGAGCAGCGCTGCCAAATACTACAGCAGCCTCCAACACAAGCAGCCTCCATACTGCTGCTGCTGTTCTCCTCACACACAGCTCGCTGTACCGTCTCCCCGCCCCTCCCCCTCCACTTTGTTGCCACGGTAACACTCACACTGAACAGTCAGGTAGGCCGATGCTGAGGGCGAGATACCAAGGCTGTTGCTCGGACTGCAGGTGTATTTCCCGGCATCCTCCGGCTTGACCCGGAAGATGATAAGGGTGCCGTCGATGAGAATGCGCACTCGGAGCTTCAGATCACTGCACAGAGGAGACAGACGTTTTTTTTTGTCACACACTGAAACACACCAACAGGACAAGGCAGCCATCTAGTCTTTTTTTCATTTTTTTGGCTGAATTACATCAAGGTGCCATAAGAGAGCAGCAGAGAGTCAAACAGCAGTTCAGCTCTCTGAGAGGGATCCAGAGAACACAGGGTACAGAGCAAGAGATTCAAATAAATCTGCTAATTGCCATAATCACCAAATGGTACAGCCTTCATGTTTTCCCCCTTGACACCATTTAAAATTAATGATGGAGCTGCTGTCCTTGTCTACACAGTGAAATAATTAAACATTTAAACATGAAACAGAATTGAAGCTCAAACTGAATATGTCTTTAAATAAACTGGTTTCAAATATGACCTCCTTTTATTAACGGTTTATATGTTGGAACTAATGGCTTTATTAAACCATTTACTAAATGCTTACAGTTAAAAGCCTTCAACAAGAACAACAAACGGACAATGTGATCACAAAATCCATTAATCAACTTATTAAGCATTTTGTATAATTGCATTATTACCAAATAGACATTTTTCATAGCTTGGAAACCCAACTGTTGTTCTTATTAATGGCTTTTAACTGATCTGTAAAGTATCAATTAATCATTTATTGACAACTGATAAAATAAGATAATATCATGTGCTACCTTGTGCCTTTAGTGTGTTTTTAGTTATCAATGATATGTTTTGACTCTTTGTCATGTAATGCATCTTTGAGTATCCTGAAAATTGCTCTATATATTATGACCGTATATTATTATTGTGATCAGGTTGAAAAATGCCACATACAATATATACATTACAATTTTTTAGACTATATAAGTGAAGTCTGGCAGCCATGATGTGTTAACTATATGCATTATATGTATAGTTATGACAAATTCATACAGTATATATAATAATATTAATATATGTGCAGTACATGTAATATACACACATTATACAGTAATAATACAATGTTATGTAGAAATGGAAGAGAATTATATGCTATACAGTAGCATATAATATAATAATTTAAGAATACCATATAATAACCCATATAAGTAATATAATTCTACATAAAACAAAAGTGTTAGAGACAGTATGTTAGAACTTATTAAACTTGTACTCCCACAGTAATAACTTATAAACTATTATAAAGTGTACTTTATTATAAAGTGATACCAACAAATGTTATGCAATTCTTAAATATATTTTAACTACCCTGCATCCTATCCTTTTTTTAAAAAACACGACTGATGCCATGAAAGCTGTTTAAAATTAGACAGGACACTTCAGCGTACTTCCTCAGACACTTGTTTTCACTGCAAGTCAAACTCCCATTCACTCGTTCTTCCTTCCCACTTGTTCTGTCTGTCACTTGCTGGCTGTAAAACCCTCTCGAGCTCTAAAGGCCTGCTCTAGGGAGCCCGCAGAGGTCCTGGCTATGCTTCAGATCATCGCTGCATGAGAGGCATATGATGACACAAGGCCTGAGTCATGTGATATTGTCATCAGAGCGCACTAACTCGCCTGGCACTGTCCAGACAGACCCCCGCCAGGCCCGCTCTTGCTGCCTCTAGGGCCGCAGTAGGACAGGGCACGGGCACACACAGAAACACACACACATAGATACACACTCTAAATATGGCACAGCAAAGGGCTCAGAGACACACAATGTCACTCACATCAGAATAGCTTTGAAAGGCTGCATGGTGGTGATTTAAATCTTCTAAGCAAGGCCTTTAAGTCTTAACCTCACCCAAGTGCTTAACTAAGTTGTTTCCCAACGGAAAGTTACTGCAGCTACAGTACGGAAGTGAACTTGATCATAACTTTACTTCTTGAAGTAGACGTTATCCTCTTCCCAGAACCAGGTGTAGGTCAGGTTGCCAGGATACGCCTCCGCTTGGCAGGTGAAGAGTGCATTCTGGGATATGTTTACAGTGACGTTTTCTGGTGGAGAGACGATGTATGGAGGGCCTAGGAGAAACAGAAACAAGCGTTCGTTGTGCACGTGTGACAGAAACTCTTTAAAGCTGCAATAACTGATTTATTTGAAAGTAAGCTTGACATATTATCAGAATCAGAATCAGAATCAGAAATACTTTAATAATCCCAGGGGGAAATTATTTTTATACCATATCATCTTTATAGTAAAATGACAAACTTGTTATCAAACAGTGGCCTATTTACACACCCAACAGACACAAAGCAACATTAGCATTCATTCAGAGTTGTGTTTCTGTCCACCTAATGAATCTATGTCTAATATTCACATCTTTGAACTCTATTTTTGGTCTCCACCGACTCCTGAGGGAACTACCTGGCTCTCTAGCTGCTCCACTATGTTTACCAGCTAGTCGCTAATTGTGTCTGTCTGCTGTTTGGTGTTTAGCAGGTAGAGTACAATGGGATTTAGTGCCTTTTTTATGAAAAAAAAGCTCTGCTGCATTTGAGAGCAATGAGATTAAACCAGAAGACAATGCTCCATAGATCTGCAGAGTCAGGTGAAAACAATCTGAGTGACCACTTTCACATTACACATAGTCATTTGATCAGTTCTCAGTATAAAGAAATATGTATTATAGCTGCGTTAATGGTCCCACTACAAAGAAAAAGCTCTTTTCTGAATTGTTTTTCCTTTCCTTTCCTTTGCTATCAAAAGAGAGATTTTTGGCCCAAAAAAAGAAGAAGAAGAAGAAGAAGAAGAAGAAGAAGAAGAATCTGTCTGGAGCTACAAAACATATTTGAGCTTTCTAATGTAGAAAGACATTAGGCAGATCAGGTAAGCCAGCAGCGTTGGTGGTGAAAGTAAACAAATCTGTCCACAGACAATTAAATTCTCCATTTTCCTCCCAGACTTTTTTTGGGGGGATTTGGAGTCCATAACTAGCTCGCTGTAGCTGGGGAGACTCAAGACTAGTAGCCACCACTATTGAGGTTTGGCAAAATATAGAAAAGGCACCAGGTCAAGATGTAACATATGGCGCACATTTTAGTTAATGAATTAAACCTTTTTTTATTGGCTTCACATTTATACAACTGGAGAATGTAAGAATCACTTTAGGCCAGACAACAATGATCAATGAAAATGTTAAAACATAACCGTTATTCATTTCCAGACCATTTTTTGTCAAAGCCACAGAGGAGCTAAAGAGCTGCATGCTTTAGGTAGTATCTACAATATATATATTTATAAATATATATAACACAGTTTTTTAAATGAGGCACAGATTTGTCTCCATTAGATTACACACGTCTGGTTATATGAGCAATGTTTTAAACCCAGTAAATAAACATATCTACATATAATGTAAGTATAAAACATTTAAAATATAAATATATATATATATAATAATATAATATAAAAGAGCAACAAAAAGTCATATAATATGCAGAGGATTCTTTGTATTTGTGGTCTTACTTAACTGAATACTTGACTGTACTTTCATTTAAAACATTTAAAAAATGTCTGACAAAGAAAAATGAAACTTACAATGGAAAAACATTAGATTTTGTGTAATGTACATTATTCAGTTTTTATTTTAAAAAGATGAGATGAGTTATCACAACTTAAACTATGCTCTATTAACTGGCGGAGAAGAGCATTAAAGGGATGAAATCTATTATTAAATCATAAAAGGTCCTGAACCACATGCAGGCCTTCTCTGTTTCCACTTTAGGGATGTCACATTTTTTTTAGGAAGAGGGTGAGAAAGAGCATACACTATGCATTATTTACAATATATCACCACAGTTTGATGTAAAATACAGTGAGCAGGCAGCTATTGTAACCTTAATGGTAGTCAGCGTTGAAGCTTGTGCATGCTTCACATTGTAACCTTTCCATCCCCCGAGGTACTCTAGGTTTGCTCTTAACTCTCAATAAAACAGCAGAAGCCATGAAAGGTAAGCTGTCTTTTATGAGTGGGCCCAGATACAAGCCTCCTGGTTATTTTCCTCTCAGTGTGCACGGCTTTATGCATCAGGTGGGACTACTGACGGCACTGTGCGGGTGTCTCACATAACAATTAAAAACAGATCACGGGAGTGAGAATCATGACTCCTTAGATATCTGCTTGTTATTGCTGTGAGTCCTAATCATACCCTGCTTTTTATTTCACAACGAATGCCAATATTCAACCAAACTCGACTCCAGTGCCAACATAACATTTCATTTGTGTGGTTTTCTTATTAAACCTGACTGTAGATTTCTCTGAGTGTGTTTCATTCATTAAAACAATTCTTGTATTCATATGACAGGAGGTTAACAAGGTTATTGCAGTGGCTGACACGTGGTAAGTGAGAACTCTGTAAAGAGGTGTGGACAAAATAACAGGAACATCTTACAACAGTGTCATCAGATCAAACAGAATTACTACTTTTATAGGTTCCAGTATTTATTAGAGAAGGAACCCTGTTACATTGCTGTGGTGACAGTTCTGACACAATAAATGTCATTTTGTGATACTGATAAAAAGCAGAGTTATAATAGTTTTGTATTTTTCATTAGTTCTTATGTTTATTTCATTTTTAATTCAGTTAGTTTCCAGAGTAGGTTTATTCGTTTCATTTTAGTTTTTATTGTTTAAAAATGTTACGTTTTAGTTTAGTTTTTATTAGTTTAAGTTATTTTTAGTTTGAGTTTTTTTAAATTATATTATCGGGGTATTTGTCATTTGTGTGAATAGGTATTACAATACAAACACATCGACTCACAGTCAGTCTCAATAAACATATGTATCACTGCCTCCTCAAGCTTATTATGTTGACAAATTTTGTAATATAATTTCTGTTCATTTTCATTTCATCTATTTTTTATTTTTATTTCTGTTAACTAAATGTTTGATAAAAAGCTGAAGTGGTAGAGCATATCAGCCATTGATCAATCAGTAAGATGTTATATAATGACATATACCATGATACAGTAAATGCTTCTGTTTGTGTCTAAACCTGTAAATTGTATGAACAATGAAATTAAATGATTAGTCACAATGCAAAAGTAGAGCTGGTATTCTTAAATGTGAAAACTTTCTTTTATATTACTTCAAAATGTATTATATCTGGGTTCTGGACTGCTGATCAGACAAAAATTTAAACAGGTCACCTTGACCTCTAGGAAGTTTTGATAGGCAGTTCTTTTTTTTTTACTATTTTCTGAAATTGTAAAGGATTTTATAAGATTAGTTGATTAATTGAGAAAATAATCCTTAGTGGCAGCCGTAATTTAGAATATAAATATATCCAATATTACCATAATACTTTTTTCATTTTCAAGAATAAAGTTCAAATATTAATATTTTGAGGACAACGTGGTAATATTTTAAGAATAAATACATAAATATTTAAATAGCTGTATAGTATATAGGAAGTATCGCACAAATATAATCATCCCAGTCCAATTCTTTTTTTCTCATAATACTGTCGTCCTACCTCACTCAGAAAGCCAGAAGTCCACAATTGACCCACCACTGTGTTGTGTTGTGGTTGAGAGAACAGGTATCGTAGTATTAACGGGTCCACTGGAGGGCTGCAAACTTAATGCAGTCACTTCACATGCACCACTGGTTACACTATTCACTAGGTTACAACACAATGATTTTTTAATGTGTGTTTGCAGTCAGCGTGCATGTGCATTTACTATACTGGGAACAAAGAGGACAGTAATTCCTCTGCTCTGTTTGCACCAACTGAAGTGAGGCATTAAAATAGACCTAACGCTAACTCTACCATAAAAGCAAGATGCTCAGTTTCTTCTTAAATACACACTGTTAACTCCCCAAGCTCTGCAGTATCCGGAGAGAACTGGAGGCTGGCATCACAGCCATCTATCTGATCTGTGTCTAGCAGAGAGCCTAGTTAATGGACCGGAGACAGACAGTGACGTTCTCACAGACAGATCCTGTTGTACACACATGGCTGTACACAGGAGCACGCACACATGCACACAGAGAGGCCCCAGACTGAGCTATTGACTGACTGATACAGACTCAGAAGGTATGTTACATACATCAGCACACCAGAGACTTGCATGGCTTTGCTTTTAAATGCTACTACAGTAAATGCTTTCAAGTATAAATAATGAAACTTAACTACTTTAGTGATTTAAACACAATATTTGGATGCAAGTAAGGTTTTTTTTACATTTCAAAATCTGGTGCAAATACATTTGTCAACAACACTTATTAATAAACTCTTACATATAAACTTGGATACAATACCTTGAACCAGTAGACGGGTAGTGTGGAGCACCTCTCCCTGGTCACTGTAGGCTCGGCATGTGTACGCCCCTCTGTCATCTCTAGTGATGCCAAGGATGGTTAGACTGCCATCGTGTACCTGTGGTTACATGCAGGATAAAGAGATAAACGTCCAACCTCGGACATCAAACATTAAGATAATGCAATAGAGACAGTGGTGGAGGACTTATATAGATTAGAGGTCCAACACTTAGTTGATTGGCAGAAAATGAAAAATCTGCAACAATTTTGGTAATCGAATAATTGTTTAAGTTATCAAGCAAAAACGTCCAAACTTCACACAGCTTCTCAGATGTTAATATTGTTTTCTATTATAGTAAATTGAATACTTTTTACTGTTGGTTTGACATAATAAGAAATATGAAGACGTCACCTTGGGAATGAAACTGTTTCAGTTTAATGTATTATAATAATATTATAATATTACTGTCAGATTCACCTTGAAATCAATTAATGAAGTCGATGGAAAAACTACCACTTTTATCCGAAGTAGCCACCAGAATCGGCACAAAATGCTAGTTCCTTCTTGGGGCTTTAATTAAAATCAACAATACCACAAGTAAAGGTCCTGTGTTGAAAATGTTACATTACACATTAAAACTGTACATTAAAAGTTTCAAATGTAAAAGTAGTTAATGCTGTGAGTGCTATGCCATTATATACCATTACATTAGAATATTCTTACTGATGCATTAATGTGTAAGCATCATTATATTGCTGTAGTTGGTTCAGATGAAGCCAATCACATTTTATTGATCTGCACCTAATAATTATTTTCATTATCAATCTATCAGCTGATATTTTTCTTCTTCAGGAACAATGCTCATCAGAGTGAGTTGGAGTAGGAGTAGAAGTAAAGTGACATAAAATTGTACAAATGCTTCAAATGTGTACTTAAGTACAGTACTTAAGTAAATGTACTTAGTTACATTCCACCGCTGAACAAAGATATATAACACCCAAGTTTGTGGACAGAGTCTACTCTAAAGAAAATACATCAAACACTTAAAAGTCATGAATGTGTCATGCTTTAATTAGCTCCAGGTCTGATTTCTTGCATGTGGTAACCTTGGAAACATCTAACTCTATGTTGCTGCGTGTCCCTGTGTGCAGCCACTGATGAGAACCAATAAGTGGTGAAGAAACACATTAACCAAACCTAATAGAAACACCCTCATAAATTATGCAACAGGTTGCGAGAGGCTCTGTCCATTCAAGTCACACACAGCTGTAGTCTGTCCATTCATGCAGCCGAAGAGGGAATCTGCTACGCCTGCAGAATTATTCCTATTCATCTGTCTTTCAAATGTTTTATAGCCAAGAGATGCGACTAGTAGATCAGCCCAAGCAACATTTAACTTCTGTCAGTCTGTTGGCGAACTGAGTCATCATCACTCAGATTGTCTATCACCAGATAACACTTTGTGCATCACTGCTGTAACATGCGACATGTGTGGTCTGCTGAGTGCTAGAAGTGTAAACTAAACATTGACGTGTTGTGAAGCATCGATTTTAAGGCTTGGAAAGCCGTTTGTAATGATTAAAAAAGCAGGAAGAGATTAAAACTGAAATAGTGTTTATTTTAATTACATGTTTGCACTGACTACTGTCTGGATGATTTGGCATGTTTTCTGTTCTTCAGATACCAGTAACTTCTTGAGGCTTATGTTGTGCCTCTCACTTAGATATCATGTGTTTTATTGCCGTCAACTCGTCTATAGAATTTATAAATGTAGAACTGTGAAGGTAAAATGTGAATAGTGTGTTCAGACAGAAAGCAAAGTGAGTTTTTGCCTTACGGTGCCACATGCAATGCACACATTGCATAGCTGTGTCAGCGCTTGCAAGCTAGCAAGTAGCTAACTTACAGTATAAGCAAACATTTGTAAATAAGCTTAATGTAAAATTGTTTTTTTTGTTTTTGTGTATAATCCTGGAGTAGGGATCACAGGAAGCAATGATGACCCACCACTGTATTGCTTTTTTGTTGTAAGTTTTGTTTTTTTGGCAAAATACTGCTTACATTTTCATAAACTTCATACATTTTTTTCAACTTTCACTTTGCTGGTCAGTCCTGCGTCACCTAGAGTCCCACAATGCCTTGTGAAGTGAGTCGCTTGTGTCCCATAGAAAAAGAATGGGGGCTGACTTTGCATCATTTGACTGCTGGACCGTTTGTCCGTGTTGATTCACTCGACACATCAAAAGTGAGAACTGTACAGACATTAGCTCTACAGTTCTCGCTGTGTCCGAAACAGATTGAGCTGAGAACAGTTTTAAATCAAGCAAACACGGCTTTTTTGCCAGGTTGCGACGCCCTCTGTGAGTTTGTATCATGTATCTATTAACTTTACTTTACTATGCAATCACGCCTCCTTTAAAATTAACCTTGCATTCTGTTTGAATCTTTGGATTTCATGTTGCACCGGGTCTATAAAAATTAAATCGAATCACTGTTGGATCAAATCATTACACTCAGCACAGGTAGCACATACAGTGGTAACTGTAGCAGACTTCCAAGACAGTAAACTTAACAGGATCTGATGATATGTAATGGCCATCGGTCCACTCCAATACTTTCTGTGCCATTGCTGTACTCAAGCCAAGGTGAGGGGGAAAAGATTAATGAAACGGAGGAGGATGAGGATGAGAAGGAAGTCAGCAATAGATGAGGTGGAAAGGGGACACGGAAAAGAAGAGCAGCAGATAAGGCGAGGCATTAGATGAAGGCAGAATCTCAATTTCTGACACATGCACGTCACCGACACATCCAGAGAGACTGACGTTGTGCTCTGAAACAGCAGGAGATGGCTGTTGTTTTCCTGTATTTATTTATTTCTTTGCTTTGATTTGAGTGCACTTTTGAGGGGAAGACCCTTAATAATGATCCCACATAAGTTTCCGTCCTCCCCTGCACAACTGTTTTGTTTAGTATCTTACATTTTATGGTTCTTTTTTTTCTGTGCAAATAAATAAAGTAATAAAGTAAAGTAAAGAGAGAAGGAGGAGGAGGATTCACTAACCCTGTCTGTCACATTCCTGCCTTTCTCCATGATGTCTCCATGGATCTGAGCATGTGGGTGAGCAAATACACCCTCACGCTCACTCGCACACATACAAACACGCTCAGCTCTCTTCTTAACGCGAGAAGGAGCTTTCCCAAGTTTCTTTCTTTTTTTTTTTGCTTGAACATACACTCGAAACAGCCAAACGGATAAAGAAAGCTAATAAATGCACTGCTGTTTTACATTTTGCAGTATATAACGGGGAAGCAAGTGAAGTATGGCATTTGGCTCTCACTAGCGATTTTCATTTTTAGTGTAACATTCATATTAGGACTAATGTAATATTGATGCAGAAGAAGGAGATTAATAATGCATCAGAATGTTGTCTAATCATTTACTGAGGGAATGGTGTTAAAAAGAGGCGACTGGAGGGAGAGATGGTGCAGCAAAAAGGGTAAAATGAAAGAGAAAGTGGAAGAGGCCCTTAACAGACACTCTTATATGCTCCTGTCACTTCCTGTATCACACAGGCAGCAGACTGCAATATAAGGGACATATGAGAGGGCGTTGCAGAAAAGGAAGGATGCATCCACCTTTCAAAAAGTTCCAAAAAACAATTACGAGCAGTATAAAAGATGCCCTTCAACGCTCCTGTACTTGTTCTGCATAATCAACAACCTGTTATGTTCAAAGCATTCCAGCAGTTCGTTTTTGTAATGAGCTGCTGTGATTCAATTTTCTGTTTATCTCGACCTCCCTCGTCTGACGCAGATTCCTACTTTTGCGAGAAAGACTCCTGACAATCGAGGTGCAGATGTTGCATTCGAGTGCTCTCTCCAGCTTCACATGTGGGCGGAAAGAGTGCTTGTGGTAGTATAGTATAGTATAGATAATATAGTGAGAGCAAGAGAGCAAGAGTTTCTCCACTTGAGAAAAAGTGACATTTGCACCTTTTACTCAAGATGCGACATCGTGCGGCTGCGATGCATCACCGCCTCTTGAAGCTGTTGCTGTTTCTGAGTCACGTATAATGGAGCGGTGTGTTAAATGTCTTTGATTTTGTGTGACTAACAACACAAACCTGATGTTTATTGTTGACGGTTTATGGAGCTGAGACATCTCCCTGCTATCAAACCACACTGAGGCTGTGCCAGAAATATCTTGTCATGACATCTACTTTTGGGAGTTAATGCACAGGAATAAAAATCGTGCATCACCAGACAACAAAGAGGGAGGTGATTTGCGCTGCCAGTAGCTGTTCTTAACACTGTTAAAGTGATTCAAAGTGGACTGCTATTATTAAAGGGGACCTCTTGTGCTCATTTCTAGCTCCATATTCTTAGTATGAGACTCCTACTAGAATAGTTTTACAAAAACATCTTTACTTATCTTATACTGGCCCTTTATGCAGCCCCTCAGTTCATCCTCTGTCTAACACAAGCCCAACTCAGAAAATATGTAACTTTCCTTCACAACCGAAAAAGCACTTTTTGCAAGACATACAAAAACTTAAATAGTTTGTCCTGACTCTTTTGCTGAGCAGTTGGATAGCTTAGACGGACTGAGTGGGTACCTGTACTTCGTGGGCATGCTCAGCCGTGCTCTGCCTGGAGCAGATAATCATAACCCTAACCGTAGGAAGCGTTGCCTTCAGAGAAGTCCGAATTCTGTGCTTTTTGCTCACAGGGATTACTTTTACATACTCATTATTTGACACTTTGGCCTCATTTAATATCAACATGGGACAGTATAACAGCACATATATATGACAGATACTAAGGGAAAGCATAATAGGTCCCCTTTAATCAATCAAAGGGCAACAGCTTTTAACTTGTCAACAAAAATTTTTTACCTGTTACCTGTCAACTCCCTAGTGAATGTTTTTGCTTGCAATATATCATCCACTAAAGTCTCAGCACCACAAATTTCAAAGACTAAAACATGTATGTGTTTATCATAAAATCTGATTTTGTTTTGCAGCACAACAACCGGATAAACTGATATTAGCCCGACTGAGATGCAGTCCATAACATACTACCAGTACAGATGGACTGGATGACACCATCTGTGCACAAGCCCTGCTTCTATATTTATGCACAATCATAAATCTGAATTATGCCCATTATTAATGATCATTCTTACCGAGTATTTTGCGTTGGTTGCAAGCTCCTCCCCCTCCCTCAGCCAGCTGATCATTGGTTTTGGATTTCCCTGGGCAGAGCAGCTAAGCAGAGTGCTTCCCCCTTCCTTCGCCTCCACATATTGTGGCGGCGTTGCTGTAAATGAAGGTGGGGCTGTGGAGAAAATGGAGGAAAAGGAATCATTACAACGGGTATGACATTTAAATTAAAACAGTAACCATAAAAATGCATTTAAATGTCTGTCACATGTCTTGTGTTGTCCTCATTTGGAGATAATCTGTCTGTTTTCATATAGCTTTTCCACACATTTTTAGCCATGCTAGCAGCATCTTTGAATGGCAGTGTCAACAACTATATACATGGAATAGCACAAAACTTTGTACAGACATTCATAGTTGCTATATGATGAAACCTAGCGACAGATCAAAACTATAGTTTGTCCGATATTTTGGTTTATGACTAAAGAAAACTAATGACATTCCCATCAGCCGCAGCTGTACATTGTGTTTAGTGCTTATTAGAATATCTTAACTTGCTAACATGCTAAAATAAGATAGTGAACATGCTAAACATTTACCTGCTAAAAATCTGGATGTTCGTATGCCCATAGACCTTACACTGGGATGACATAATGCAAATAAAAAGCTTTTCTTTCTTTTTTATAGGCAAATAAAAACCTCCTCGGTTTAAAAAATACAAATTTTGCAGACGTGTCTATGAGGAAAATGCTTTTTGAGCCACAGGGGAATTTTTATGTTATGTTTATGTTATGCACCGTTGTTGGCCAGTGGGACAAATTGGCAGCAAGGCTGACTGGCTGTATTCAACTATCTTAATAAATGACTGACTCTGGCCAGTACACATGGGACAATTGTGCATTTGGGGGGATCAGGGTGGATGGTCTCTTTGGAAGAATACTCTTAGACGGAAGTTGCTTAGATAGCGGGTGATGCCACCACTTTCTGAAACACCAGAAAACCTAAAAAAATCACTTAGCGGCATGACTGCACTTCTACCTGATGTTTCTGAGGTTCACTAACAGCCACAAGGGAGCTCTTCCCTACCTACTGCAGGCCAATAAACTGTACTATCCTCAGCCAGCTGCTTTCGGTGTTCAACATAATATTTTGATTATAAATAGTGGCACTGTGTTTAGTTAAATGGAAAAAAGGCCCCGCTATACAAGTGGGTCACTGCTTGCCGCTGGGAGTGCTGCCATGCTTCAGACTGCACACAAGCACCTGGCATGGAGTAAACAAATCGCCCAATTAGCACATTTAGACATCTGCCTGTCCATACTGCCCTCTCACTCCCTAACACTTATTACATTATATGATACAGTGAATTAATGGATACTCTAATAAAATGCTTGACTGGTTTATGTATCGCTTGCTCGTGTGGTTGACGGGTCAACAGCTTCATTAAACAAATCATGACGTATCATTCTAGTTATCAACCTTAGCAACTTTGTGCAGTCACTATGAATTATTTACCTTAAGATATCCTTAATTGTTTCACGGCCACCCTAGTTTCTCTCGCGCGCTTGGAACAGGAGGGTGAGACGAGGGCGTAGTCAGCAACTTCACCGCTAGATGTCACTGAATCTTACACAAATACATTTTGGTATATAAAGTAGTTGAAACTAGCTCCACCTAGATCAGCTGCAACAGTAAAATGTTGCTTTTACACTGACACATCAGTATTATTGATATAATTAGACACATTAGCTGATTTCATGCAGAACGAGTACTTTTATTTTGAATAGGTGAAGTAGGTTTAGTTGATCCTACTTAGGATAGTTCTTCCACTACTATAAGGGCTGATATTAATTCTAATCCTACTTCAGAATTCCCTCAAGGGATTAAGCATCAGTTGACAGGAAATAGGTAGCACACATGGCGTTGACAATAGCAGGTACATTGTTCATCCAGGGAGCTGTTCACGCCATCAGGTACAGCTCGTCACAGCAGAAGTGTCACAGTGGCTGGGAAACCTGGGAGTTGCTCTACAAAAAAAGTAAGCTGAGCATCACATTCTCGCCCTACTTACTGCAGCTCTTCATCAATTATATACATTAAAATATGCTTGAAGATCCTGCACTCCCACTGTTCTTCTTTGTAGACCACACAGCACATCGGCAGATGGCCTGGATGCTCAGACGCAGGGTTCGGCCTGTTCTTTGAAGGCTTACATCCGCTGTTATTTGCTCACTAACTCAAGAGTGAGTCTGCATCATTTTACTTCCTCACTTGGTTTTTCTTTTCTTGTCTCTGCTCCTAAGAGAATACGGCCACATAGAGTACACATCTTTCATTGATTTCACATCACAGGTGTCAACCGTGTAACGTGTGTTTCGGTGTAAACTGTTACAGAGAGAAGAAAGAGGCCCTCAAGGAGATTTTGAGTGCCTCTGGATCTGGATTATAATAATTACCAACCGTGACAGTGTTGACTGGTATTGTTTTCACCTTCTGAGTCAGTGTGTGTGCGTGCTTTAACAACAAAATGTGCTCCCCAGAAAACATGATTTGTGAAATTTTGGGTGGACTACTCCTATTTTTTTTTGTAAAATTTTTCTGTATCTTCTTGGATCATGCGTAAAATTAGGCTATCATTGATGTATATTTCATTAATGTGTCTTTGCAACTAGTCCCCCCCCAGAGAAAAAATAATGAGCTTGAAAGCCATGGTCTAGTTCACACACTGGCGGAAACTACAAAAAAAGCCAGGAGTTTATATGTCTGTCTGACACTGTACAGGTGTGTAGTTGAGATCAAAATGAAGGCTGAGTTCGAAGATGCAGGTGGTCCAAGCAAGGGTTCAGAAAGTATGGGGGTAAAAAGTGGGAAAGGGGCCATTGGTCCCTCCATTGTATGCCCCTGGCCCACATTCATTTTAATTAACATGTTAGATGGGATCACACACATTCCAACACATGAGTACTGAATAGTCATTACTACATTATTACTTGAGTGCTCAGTAGGCAACTCATAGGTTGGGACCACACCCACTGTCAAAGTAGTGGGGATTACCACTAAGGCAATTTTCAGGTGTTTATATGTCTGTCTGTCTGTGGACAGATTTAGATTTTGGTGTAAAATGGCTGAATCTTGGTTGGTCTTTTAGAGGCTGTAGTGGGCTCCATTTCAGAGCTAGAGTAAAGACCACCAGAATACTGGTATAATACGATACTAGATGACCTAATGCATCCATTGTTACCAACCGCGTCGTAGCGTGTTGGGAAGGGGGCTAAATAATGCTCCAAAGTTAGGTAAAATTTTGGTGATGGAAAAATTGGAATGGCCATTTTCAAAGGTGTCTGTTGACTCTGCGACCTCAAAATAACTGAATGAAAACTACCGCCCATAAACAGTATTTATTATAATTGCATAAATTGGTAAAGACTGAAAAGCTAAGACACAGACTTCATGTCACTTCTGCATTAGTCACTGTCCCACTTATGCCTTTTTTGACTTGTCTGCAACCTCCCTGGGTCAGAGATGAAACTGTTTTTCAGCCTTACTCTTTAATTTGGTATAATACTCCCAGTGTGTGACAGTCAAAATCATTACAGGTTAAGTAAAATGATATCATTCTTCTTTTGCTTTGTTTACAGCTATGTGGGGAAGAGCTATTTCTGTTCCTCTAGGTAAGTGTCACAGAACATGTCGTACAAGTAGTCAAACCCTGTGACAGAGGCAAAAGAAATCTTATTTTCTGTGATTTTTGTCAAGACACCATGAGGCCCTTTACTATCTTATTCCCTGCAGCTGTCTGGTTGTACTATTATTGGGCTGATATTGTGTAGTCTGATCCAAGCATTACACCAACGCAGATTAAATGCATCTTTTTATTTATTTCTGAAAAAACAACCAAAAAACAAAAACAAAACACTGCCTTAGGATTTAAGAATTTTGTCCACTTGTCTAAGTAGGCCACAAATGGGTCCCTATTGGGCTGACATTTGTGGCTATGTGAGCAATATGGGGAGAAATGCAAAGAAAAACATTCATTAGAATTTGCATCCCACACAGGCCTGAGCATGATTGTACGCATGGGCTGCACTCATAGCCACAGTGGGCCGTTAGTGACTGACAAGGGCAGACACACATAGGGAATATATGGAGCTGGTGGACAAATGAGCTGACATTTGGGCCCCAGTTGGGTCAACCAAATGGGTCCTAAATGCCAGCCCATCAGTAACCCAGTGACACAGTGGCAGGGTCTGTCTTTTTTATGTTTTGAGGGTAGATGGTTAACTTAAAATAATGTGAAAGTGCTGGTGCGCTGGTGTCTTTTCAATGTTTGAAAAGCTTGCTGATGCTTGAAAAGCAAAGAGAAGGGCAGGACAGGGGAGACAAGACTAGAGATGAGAGGATGAGAAAGGGGGAGGGCAGAGAGAGAGAGAGAGAGTGGCCTTAGTGTCTTTTTCGGGCACAAGGCCTTGCCATCTGACACCTGCCACTGAGTGGGCACGAATTCCCTGTCCGCTTGGCAGGAAGTTAAGGCCAGCAAACAGGAACTCAAAGGAGGAGTGTATGCAAATACCAACAGCCAAAGGAAATGGGTGCCCTTAGTGTCTGTGTGGAGGCCAGACGAAAATGGCACCTGCTTCCCTCACAGACACCCATTTAGAGGACAACGATAGCATAAAGTCTTCATATGAATTCCCTTTTTGGATATCTAGACTCTGGAACAACTGCTGCTTTTGGTATTTCCATGAATGTCTGTCTTTAAAACCAAATAACAGCATCAGAAAAGCTATATTTTATGTACCAGTTATACACATCTACCCCAATCAGATACAGGCTTACTGCGTCTCTATAGCTAGACACATTATATGCATGAGGTCATGTAAAATACCATCACTTAATATGCCAAATACATAATATGACATCCAGGGATATTATTAGTTCTGCTACAACCCAAAGAGCTCAGTTTCTGTTGAAAGGCCTGACAGGAGTGGAGAGCAGCAGAAGAGGGAGGGAGGGAGCAGTTGAAGTTAAGAGTGAATACTGATGAGGCATCTACAGAGATGCAGTATACCTACACAACAAAACACTGATACACACACGCACGCCCTCAGACGTTTTCACGAACTCCAAACATCACAAGAGTGTGCAGGTGACAGCAGGGTATGACCCATTCACTCTTCAACTACAACTTCAACCGGCAGACAGAGATCTCATTTAGCCACATACAAATGCACAATGAGATGCTCTCATGTCAGTGTTGATGTAATGCGCTACACATAGAACACAGTGCGGAAAGTAATTTGCAGTGTATGGTGTACGAACACACCCACGACACACAAATACGCACAAAAGAAAACATTGTGTTGTGCATTGATAATAAGCATTTATACAGATCAGCATTTTTCATTCCAAAGTGATTATGCCGTGCAATGGACTTTATAAATGGCTCTTTACACAGTATTTCGCATACAGCGCGTTGTAATCATTATTCAAACACAAGAATTGCATCCATTGTAAAACATATGCATGATGAAATCGAATATGCATGAGTTTCACACAGCACTCATAAGTGCCAAAAATATACATGTGAATGAGCTTGACAGTACTTTGCTCGAAAAGTCTCTCTCTAACAACACAGAGGATTACAGCCCTTAGAAGTTAGAGACCTGTGAAGCTTTAACACAAGAAAATCACCATTTTTGGCTTGAGCTATTCTTTTCAAATGCCTGTTAAAGAATTATTCACCCGCTCATATTAGGCAGTTACCGGAACGCTAACTAAGAAATGCAGGGAATGCAGACTACATGAATTTGCTACTTTAACTTAACTTCATCTTTGCTGCATCTGTAAACATTTATTCAATTACATCTACTGCAAAACATATGAAGCAGCTTAATATAATATCTGTCTAAAAAGCATTCCTCATATGAAACAGATACAGGGCTTAAAAAAAATAAAACACAAAGACATCATTGTCTCTGTAGACTCTGGTGCGCTGCAACAACGTGAAGACACATTTCACATAGGATTCTCTAAACCACTGGGGCATTCCTGGGAAATGCAAAGGTGCAGTTTTTTTTTCCGCCTGGTCATCAATTTGATAGCTTTCAGACTATCACAGACGATCCCTGCCGGAACCGCCTTAAACAGGACACAATCAATTCTCTTCTAACCAGCCTCGCATCCCTTTTTTACCCAAGGCCTTTTGAAAAGGAGCTGCAGGGATGATCTTAAACAGTGTTTAACCGTCACTCAAATTCAAATTTCCTCCGTAAAAATAGAAAACCATAAACCGTCACTAACTGGACCAGGGAGTCAACACTTTTAACAGAAGAAACAATGTGACTGAAGGGCCGTTTGTCAGGCTGCAACTTATGATTCATTTCTTTATTTTTTCACTGTGCTCAACCAAAGACAAAAGGAGTGCATTAGGATGTGTGTAACTATAGTCCAGCAAAGATAAACCACAGATAGTCAATTTAAAATTATTTAGAAATTTAAAATTCTCCTTTATTAGTGTCATTAAAAACATATGGCATATAATATTGTGCGCATTGGCCCTGTCTCCGGTTCACCTCTTTACCTTTCTTGCACCACTTTTGATAGGCGCTGACCACTGCAGACCGGGAACACCCCAAAAGAGCTGCAGTTTTGTAGATGCTCTAGTCGTCTAGCTAAGTCACTCAAAATCCTCACGCTACCCATTTTTCTTTCAACACATCAACTTTGAGGACATAAACTAATATATCCCACCCACTGACAGGTGCCATGATAACCAGATAATCAGTGTTATTCACTTTACCTGAAAGTGGTCATAATGTTATGGCTGATGGTATATAAGTAAATGAAACAACATTTAATCAAAACTAAAAACCTAAACAAAATGAATGTATAATTTGCAAACTAATTACAGATGTTTACAGATAGGATGATTATTTCTCGTAATTGATGTAATGGCTGAATTGGATTCATCTGAAGGCTCCTTAATGGATAGCTCCAGATAATGATTGTTGGTTGACTACTAGTGCGTGTGCTCTTCTGACCATGAGCGGATTGAGGCGTGGTGTCCAAACTGTCCTCAAGAAAATACAAGTTTATAAAGTGTATGATGCAAGTTTTCTTTTCTTTTTCATTCCCCCCACTGACACTTATGTTCCCAGGTCAGAGAGCACGGGCAGCTGACTCACCATTGACTGTGAGGTGCACCCAGCTGCCGTTGTGGAAGGTGTCGTACTGTTGCTCCAGCATCAGGACCCTGCACTCATACCAGCCCTGGTCCTCGGAGCGCACAGGGTCAATCTGTAGGGAGGCCTTCCCATGCAGAGAGGCTCTACCTGAAGACGGGGGGGGGGAAAACACCAGAATTAACCACTGTGCATTTGTCTTTTTCTGCTTTTGAAAACACCTTCATGCTCTTTTCCAGAGATGGTTGGATTCTCTATTTCACACTTAGTAGCTTTGCTGGTCACCGCAAAGATCCATCATAGCAGTCGGGGGTTAAGTGCTTTACGTCAACCTTTTCTTCTTGCAGCGTGAAACAGATTGCCTTTTGCATCAAAAGCAGCCTAGAAGTCACGGTGCAATATTTTTGCGCGGGCACTAGATTAGAAATAGTGCTTTTGTTTGTCTTTTAAAGAGATTAAAAAGACAAATAAAATATCTTCTTCCAGTGAGTATTGTATGTTATTAGGATTAAGTGCAACATTATACAGATCTCTGCTTCTCCTATTTTCCTTTTCTCTGCAAGGGCTCCAACAACTCAGACTTTGAACTACTAGGTATTAAAATAAGCATAAGCACAAGTCTATTCAGATGCACAAAGTCCAGGTGTGACAAACAAATTCATTCTTTAGTTCTTTTTTTAACTGCTTATTCCTATTCAAGGAGTGCAGCAGTCTGGAGCTTTTCCAAGCACTGGATGGAAGGCATGAAAACACCCCGGACAGGTTGCCAGTCTCTCACAGAGTTAACAGAGACAGGCAATCTCTAACACTTACTGTACAGTCATACAATTTGGAGCCTTCAATCCGGCTGACTTCAAGTCTTTGGACTGTCGGAGGAAACACAAATGGATGCGAGCATGCAGACTACATACCCAAACTGATAGGACTATTAAAGGAATTGTTTGTAGATTTAACAGAACAGTTTTGACATATTGGGGAATACACTTATTTTCTTTTTTGCCAAGAGTTAGATGAGAAGATCGATACCACTCTCATGTCTGTACAGTAAATATGAAGCTACAGCCTGGAGAAAGTTAGCTTAGTGTAAAACTGGAAACAGGGGGAAACAGGTAGCTTGGCTCTGTCCAAAGATAGCACCTTTAAAGCTCAATAAATAACAGTTTTTGGTTTTACAAGGGTCCGTGCAGGACTATCTACTGACTGAGCAGAGTTTTTGTTGATTTTGTTACCTTAGTTGGGACAAAGGCAGGCTAGCTGTTTCCCCCAGCTTCCAGTCTTCCTTCAAAAGCCAGAAAAAGTTCACAACCCATCACCCCACACCTTTTAGCAATTATAAACTATGGTAAGGGAATCAACTAATAAAAAAGGTTGAGTTTTAGTGAAATAAAGGTCAGCATGATAACATAATCAAACTCTTGATTGTTTATTTTACCTAATAAATCACATTCATTCAACTTAGTTTCAGTTTAGTAATTTTGCCCTGATCATCCACGCCCCCACTGCAGTGGCTCCATGCCCCACCAAGGGGACCTTTAAGCTAACCCACTTCGGGATGTAGCTTCATATCTAACGGACAGACATGGGAGTGATATCGATCTTCTCATCTAACTCTCTGCAAGAAAGCAGATAAACGTATTCCCCGAAATATTCCTAAAACCAATTAAACATCAAAATATTTAACCGTAAATGTGGTTTTAAAAGAAACTACCTTCCAGTATTAAGATTTATGCATAAAACTACCTAGGAGCCATCTGTTCGGCTGAATTAAAATAAAGTATTTGGAGTCACTGTAGAAAAAGACCAGGCTTCCACCTCATAGAAATCATCCATTTCTTATGAAACTTCTCCATCTCCACTTCTTTTTTTTCTTCAAGGCTGAGGATAAATTGGAATTCTAAAAGGAGGAAATCACAAGGGGATGAGAGAAGTTCAGGAAACCAGGCATGGTGAAATCTTCAGCTGCTAAGCTGTCTGTCTTCAAGCCTCCAGCCCGCTGCTCACATGGCTGCCTCTGACAGCCCAACAGACTAAAACATTCGCTTCTGCTCTGTCTGACGAGTGTTCTCAGATGGAGCATTTTTCCAAACTTTGATGTGTAGATGTACCGTAAGCACTGTTTCCCGTTACTTCAGACTGACTGTCAGGCAAATATATTGACGTTGAGGGTGGGCTGAATTGCTCTAGCAGCACTGTATATAAATGCAATGGATAAATACCCCAACCCTGCATGGGATTGCTGCCATAGTTGGGGTAGAAAACTGACGGGTTTTTTTGTTAGCAGAAAATCAATACTGCAAAGAGGAAGAGAGAAGAGTGGGGACTGCAGTCTTGCAGTAAAAAAGGCAGCTTGTCTTTAAAAAGTCAGGTCTATTTTTGCCTGGGCATTGAAGTGCTGAGTGGGGTGGGCGGTGGTGTGAAGGGTAGGGATCAACCTCAGCTCCCATTTGTCAAAGAGTGAGAGGGTGCTGCTGTAAACAGAGTTAACATCACTGTATCCACGTCAGGACCGGCCCCCAGGGCACACACCACTTACACAGTACAGGGTTCTGTCTACTGTGAAAACAGAGGAGCTAACACCTTGTTCAGATCACATCACTAGCTTTGTCAGATAGGAAAGCTTTGAAGAGGAAACACTAAAGATACAAAGTGACAAAGTTGGCAGACACAGTGAGGTAGTCTAAAAAAACACAACTTAAAGTCTCAAAGAGCAACGATTAAAAGAGGGAAAAAATAGCTGGATGTATGTGTACCCCGCCTCTCCCACAGCATCAGCTGGGATCGGCTCCAGCCCCCGCAACCCCCCCAAAAGACAAGTGATTGTAGATAATGGGTGAAAGGATGGATGTATAACCTTTGACTAAATTACCACTATCATAAATACATGTAACTATGAACGCTGAAGTACATTTCAACATATTTTTCGTCCCTTGGCTACCCTAATTTAACTTTTTCACAGCAGAAAGTGTAACTTGTTATATTCACTTGTTCAATCAATTTAAGTGTCCAAAGCCAACACTCTCAGTACCGTACTCTATAGTCAGTTGGTCTGAATCATAATCATATTGCCTAATTACTTTTAGGTATATAGTGTTCTAGGACTGTCATTTTCCACAAATACTGCATTGTGGGATTGTTCACAGAAACTAGTGTACATGCCATGAATACTACTTTTTTATCTTACATTGTGTTTTTGAGGGCACGATATAGAGCATCAATTTCATACTAAGAATAAAGCAAATAAAGTTTTTGCTGAATTTTTGTCCCACTGGTTTGTTGTTCTTATTGCCAATTGGGGGATATTGTAATTGTCATACACTGATTGATTTATTTAATTGGTTGATTGAAATTCTTTAATGATCATTAATATAAAAGTGGCCCTTTTAGCCAAAGATGCCCCAGATTTACAAATCAACAAAAGGATAAAAACACAATAAAGCCCAAAGCCTTATTTCCATTTTAGTCCTTTTTCCTACTATCTCTGACTTGGAATTGCATTTGGGAGGCTGAATGTACAGTCCGATGTTATGATAATAATACGGCATTTTCCTACTATGACATGTTAAGATGACAACATGCTACTAAATTCTAGAAGCAACAGCAAATCACAAAGCCACAAAAAGGCTGATTATTTATTTATTCTGTATGTTCACATACTCATTAACTCCCTCCTAGTAAGAAAAAGCATTTTCATCAATATCCTGTAGCCTGTAGGGAAAGTATAAAGCTCCTGAGAGAACGATACTGTTTTACATATACTGTACATAACCACATTATTCTTGTGCAGGCTCCAGCTAAAGCTGAGTGCTAAGAGAGATATGATTTAGTTTTATCCCAAAGCGGGACGATCTGACACTAAAATTTCACAAGCTGCACATCTGAATTATTGATTGCGTCATTGCTTGAGTGGGCACAAAAATAGATGTTTTTAAATGTTGTAATTTCCATATAGCTGCAGGACAAACTGGCAATATGATCCGGGATAGATTTTAGTCTGCAAGGATATGTACAATTTCTCATTTAGCAGAGAATTAGAAAGGGAACAGTTTTAATGAGGAAAAAAATCATATTTTCTCTTTGAGGAATCTTGAATTAAATATTAAAATTAATATAATGTATGTCTCTTAACAGTTAAACAGACTGGAAACTGAACAATGCTAATGCTCGCTGACCCAGACCAAATGACTGACCCATACATGGATTTACTGTCACTAAAATCTGCATTCTGCACTAATCTGCATGGTGAAAATATCTTTGTTTGTCCATACTGTAAATACAGTATTCATGGATAATCTACTCTGTTTTGGTAGCAGCTGTGTGATGGAATAATATCAGATTTAGTCTATTCACCAATTTTGTTCATATTGAGTGATAACAATTCATGGACACAGACCAAATGAGCTCTGAGACTGAACGGCCCCAAAGAGCATCTCATAAACTGCCGTCCAGTGTCATTATCACCATGCACATGCAATCCCCAGAACAAACTTTAATCTATGTAATGAGACTGGCCATATTCATGTTGCATCTGTTCCCTGGTAATTCCTCAACAGTGGACTTGACGCCACATGGCAGAGGCCCGCTAGAGCCAGAGTGAGCACAGTGGAGTTTGATGCTGTTTGAAAAGCGCTGTTCGTTCATACCCTGCTGCTTGTCAGGAGGTTACAGTAAACAATGAAACGCTTCAGCAGCAGCTACAGTCGCCACTACAAAACAAAAAGGAGGGTTTCCCCAGACAGTGAGTCACTGCCATTAGTCTTCTTTGCAGTGAGGACCCTGCCTGAAAAGCCCACAGGGAGGGATTTCAATGAATTCAATATTATTTACACCATTTTCACTCTATTCATAAATAAAACAACTGACAAATCTGTTACATCCACTTAGGACACTCACACTAGGGAGATGAATCCTGTCTGGCCGTGCTTTGCCTTTATTTCACAGCATATTACCAGGTCACGCAGGGGTTTTGTACTTGGTAAAGAGGTGGGAACAGGAAGGGATAATTCTGACCCCATTCTGACAGCTCGCCATCTTGTCACAGACACTGAAGCAACATCAGAGGAACCAATTTCCTACTGCAAGTAATCTGTGTGAAGGCAAACATATTGTTTTAGCCAGGAGAGGGAGATGTTAAGGTTGTGTCAGACTATGAAGAATGTGAAAAAAACACCTATTTAATGTTATCATATATAGCTTTATCTTAAGATTATGTGTAGGATTTATTGACATCTAGCAGTGAAGTTGCAGATTCCAGCCAACTGAATACTGCTAACCTACTGCTAAACTACGGTGGCCTCAAAACCTACAAAACATGCAAAACATGCAGAAGGCTCTAGAGCCAGTGTTTGGTTTGTCTGTTCTGGGCTACTGTATAAATATAGCGATTCCACCATCGAAGAGGACCTGCTCCCTCTGTATAAAAAAGGCTCATTTTAAGGTAACGAAAACACCACAATTATTATTTACAGGTGATTATACACTTGTTACACACACACCTTTAAACCTGCTATAATCAATATTCAATTTTATATATATAATGAAGTGAAAGGGGAGCTGACTGCAGTTCCCTTCAGCTCTGCAGAGCTTTATAGCATCTTTGAGTTAATTGTTTTGGTTTTCTGCTTTGTTTCAGTCTTACCACTTTCATAGCGTTGCTCTTGGGCATAGCTGTTATTGGCAAAAACACTAATAACCTACTGTACGCTGTCTGGCTCAGTACCAAACAACAGAGAAACAAAATTAGCAACTAGCTTGTGAATATAGTGGAGAATCGAGCAGTTAAAGAGTCAGATATTTCTCTCTGCAGACCAAAAATAGAGCAAAAAAAGTCCATTGTGTAGAATTTAGAGGGATCTAGTGGTGACTGCAACCAATTGAATAGCCCTCGCCCCATCCTCCTCTATTCTGGGCTACTGTAGAAACATGGCGTTCAACATGGCAGTAATGGTAATGGCTCATTCTAAGGTGATGAAAACACAATGGTTCCCATTTGTAGGTGATTATATACTAATGAAAACATACCTATGAATATTATATTCCATTTCTTCTATAATTTTGTTCATCCTATAAAAAGGATGGGATAAATAATAAAAACATATCTCTGACAACTGTCTGTATGTGAGTGTTGTCTTTGAAGTGTGTTTTAGATAGATAGACTTTATTAATCCCCGAAGGGAAATTGGGTTTTAACAATGAGTTTAATACATTCTTTAAATATTTATGTCAATAAATGCCAATCATTTGTTGGTTTTAGCTTCATAGCTTCCTATTTTCAGCAGATAACTTTTCTTTATAACCCCCGTTCTATATGTACTGCATGAAGAGTTTTTTAATATACTGTATTGACTCTACACTATATGTGCTCTGTGCTGCATTGTCACTAGAGTGTGTAGGAAAGAATGTATGTACAATGCAGTCATAAATTGCTGAGACACAGTTATTTCCTCTATGCACTCAGAGGCAGCAGATGCCCCTGCACAGCCCTGAATGCCATGTTAGAACAGAAATAAGTGCAAATCAAGAACTAGAATGGTTTGCAACGGTGGCCAAGTCTTTCTCTTAGTACTTAAAGACCTCTGTGTACTGTAACATGCCTTATACCTAAAGCTCAAACAGCTGAAGTACCATTCTGAGGGAAATCACGCTAAAAATGCAGGTAAATCTCCTCGTTGTACACGACAATATGACTCTGCTCTCAGCCAAAAGGTCACAATTAAGTTTGCAGCAGTGTAGGAAAAACACTATACTGTGTATTGATAATAATAATAATAATAATAAGAAGAAGAAGAAGAAGAAGTAATATATCTTTACTATATGCATCAGTGTGATGGGCTCACAAAGGTAGATTTACCATGGTTTGAGACATAATTCATACTATGTTAGAGGAGAAATATTGGCCAGGTTACACATTCCTGGCTGACAATACCAATGCCATCAATCAAAATATGTGTCTTCTTTGAAACAAGGTCAAACAAGGTGAAATAACTGTTAACTTTGCTGTTTAAAGGAATAGTTTAATAAAATTGAAATGATTTGTTCTTTTGAGTGTTTCAAGATCAAAACCACTCTTATGTCTTTATGGTGTATACAGGATGAAGCTACAGCCAGAAAACAGTTAGCGTAGCATAAAGACTGGAAACATAGGGAAACAGCTAGCCTGGCTCTGGCCCAAAGTAACAAAATCTGCACCTTTATCCAAGGTGGAAATCCAGCACCTCTAAAGCTCACTAATTAACACAGATTAAACAAACAAGTTATAATGTGTTAATTAGTGAGCTTTAGAGGTGCAGGTAGGCGGCCAGCTGTTTCCCCCTGCTTCCAGTCTAAATGCTAAGTTTAGCTAACCTGCTGCTGGTTGGAGCTTCATATTTACTGTACAGGCAGGAGAGTTACATCAAACTTCTCATTTAACTCTTAATATTATCTGCAAGAAAGTAAGAAAGAAAATATTTCCCAAAATGTCAAAGTACTTCTTTAAATCCATAGGGCTGTATGTTACAGCTTTGATTATGTTGTTATCTGTAAGCCACCATCTTTCACATATAGTAAAATGCAGTTCAAAACTGAATACATGAAGCGCGTACTCTTGCAGGCCATCAACATCAAGAGCAATAACTATAACAATTACTATTAATCGTTAGGATCACTTTCAGAGCAATTTGCTTAATGATATTGTGGTATATTATATTATATAACTTATTAAATGCTTACGTAATGTAATTTTAGGTTGCAAATCACATAAAAAAGTATTTTTACCTGAGATATACTGCCAAATGGTCTTTAGCGTCCTTAATGATGTCCTCTTTCTTTTTACCACACTTTGATTAAAAAGACATAGCACAATATACAGCAATAACAGGTCATCAATAAAACATTTTTTAAGAACGTGGAACCCACTGCGGCCACTTTTTATGCAACGTTATTGTTCATCTGTGCTCACATTGTTATAGTACTGTTCTTGATGTCGACGAACCTTTAGAGTATGTGGATTATATGTGTTTTAGTTCCCCTTTGGTTGTGGTATGATGGTTTTATGGCCACTGTTTATCATCCTGTACTGTGAAGCTACATTGTCAACTTTCTCTGCTGCAGTGTATCAACAATATAAAATCCTGTGGATTTACTGTCCCTGGCAACTAAAAAGATGTTGATCCTGATTCATCCCAAGATGCATCCAAACGCTCATTAATACAAAAGTTTGAAACCCTAAATCTGTTACAGATAAAACTGGCCTTTCACAGTGTCTCTGTATTCATTCAGAGCTGGATTACTTTGCTGTATCTTAGCCATAGGCATCTTACCAGTGTACTCTGGATCCACATGAGGAGGGTAGAAGCGGAAGTTGATGAAGAAGGGAATAGGCACTCCAAACTTGAACCACTCCACCACATAGGGAGGCTGCTGGCCGTCCAGGGGAGGGGACACGTCACACCCCAGGATCACGCTCTCTCCAGCGCGCGCCGTCACAAACCGGGGCTCCTCTCTCACTCCGTGGGCACCTAAGAGCGAAGAAGAAGCAGCATTTTACTACAAACAAGGACTTTTAATGTTTATCTCATCGGGGCTGGAGTCTGACACGCAAGAGAACAAGGTGCAAGGCATATTCTTCTGCAAAGAATTCCTGCAGACAAAGCAGAAAAATCTCCAAGTCATCCAAGACTAATTTACAAACAATAATTGGGTGGCAATTAAAGGTGATCGACTGAACTACTGCACTGTGGATTAAAACTAGATTTTGCTTAGGATACGTTGAACACTCATGGCCTACTTGTGCAGAGTGACCATGCACACGGGTAAACCCCTCTCCCTTTCATCAGCTTTCCTCATCCTTCCACAGAACGGCCTATCGTCATCTGTCACCTGCATCTGTTGGTGAGTGTTTTGTGGTTGTGCCATACTGTACTATAAATGAGCTGCCAAGGGGTTCCATTGATCATTGCTGGCTGCTGCTCAGATAAGCTTTACTATGAGCACCACCAGGCCTGGCGTTTAGCCATGAATGTCCAGGCACGCTGCCGAGCGTTGACCTATCAGATGACTGAAAGGTCGGCATACCTGCCTCAGCAGAACGCTCACTCTGGGAATGGATTTTCTCCAGCTGCCACCCCCGCTTTCATTGAACCGGCTGTATCTCCACCGTCAGAGCAAGCATGACTACCCACCCTCGCCCAGGGGGAAAATCGCTTCAGGGATCAAGAGACATGCTGACGTATCACTCTAGAGAAACACCAGCTGAATAACTTAACGCTTTCATTAGCAGTATCATTTGCATTAGCAGGGCTAATTTTTACAAGAGGAACAAAATATGTGGGGACTTGGAGGTATTATGGGCTCAAGCTGCACTGGATAGCTGTAAGGATTTCTCTGCTCCATGTTCCACCACCATCACTGTTGTATGAAATGTTATGTGACCCGTGAGCACCGTGCCTTTTCAGCTATGCTCACTGGAATTAAAACAAAAATATTTTCACCCACTTCTTCTGTCTGGAAAATAAAACTCCACCCCTAAGGGCCATATGCATCACTTAGTGATTGTGTTTACCAGTTTAATCTGCATCATCCTGTGGCAGAGTTAATCCACTTTATTCGTTTCAGCCAGCACAGACTCTGGACTGAAACAGAGCAGATTTAATCAAATTACACTTTTTAAAGTGGAGATGTGGTCTGCCAGTTACGGGCCTCAGTCCTGGAATCTGCTTTTGCTAATGTGCCTATTTGTTAAGAAGGGAAACACAGCGATGCTATGGTACCCTGAGCTCTACTTAGCAACACAAATAAGAACACATGTGCATGACTCCATGAACAGCACATGACCTAAAACAGAATTAATACCTAACAAACACCCCGTAAATGTTACATTTAGAAAATCTCATAGTGGGGCTGATTGACAACTAAGCCACAGAGGCTGTGCATCAAAGAAAGAACAAAACTAAATGCACTAATTTGAATGATCTAAATCATGTTGGTAATAAAGCAGCATTTTTCATTCAAATGAAACTGAGGGGGGGTCAGTGTTTAATCAAGCACAGTGTAGTGTGTCAAAATGCATAAAGATTGCTGAGACTGAACGAGAGGGAAGAAGATTGTTGCAGAGAGCTTCTGCAGGCATGAAGCTCTGCCCTGCAACCTGTATAAACCATGACCTTTTAATGCGCTTCGGAGGAAACCTGTCCCATCCCGTTATAAGCACAACAAAATCAGAAATCTGCTAAACTAATCCTTTCAGGCTTGCAAAAACCCTGAAATTCACACCTGAGCACGCTCCATTGCAGCCTCATTTATAACACCTTTAAAAAAGATTATAATAAACCACTTCAACTCCCTATGCAGGGCTTTCGCCGAGGCATATGCTCTGAATTTTCTTCTTAAATGCTCTTTAGAAAAGTCCACTCAATTTGAATTCTAGATCAGTGGATCCCAACATGGGTGCCTTGAAGCAATGGTTCAATATTTTGGGAAATTTCTTGCTGAGAATTAGATGAGAAGATTAATACCAATCTTTTGTGTGTCTGTGAAATTTAAGGCTACAGCAGCCAGTTAGAGTAGCTTAGCATAAAGACTGAAATGGCTAGCCTGACTCTGTCCAAAGGTGACAAAATATACCTACCAGCCTACATTAAAAGCTAAATAATCAACGCGTTAAAACTAATTTCTTTAGTTCGTACAAAAACCAAGTGTTAAAACAAAAAGATTCAGTTTTACAGGGATTTTGTAATCTTTTCTTGGCCTGAAGCAGCGACTTTCTAGCACCTGTTCCCAGTCTTTACATTAAGCAAGCTAACACGCTGCTGACTGCCTACACATGCTTACTTTTATTTTTATTCATTACTTTATAATATAAATATAATTAACATTGAAACAGCTATATTAAAAGCCCTGTTACTACGCAGCTAAGACAGTTGTCACAATAACAGCTTTCTAGCATGAGAGTTTTTCACAGCAGTCAGGTAAAAAGGTTTGTAACTGTAAATGTTGCAGAAGAACTAAGTGCAGGACCAACTGTGGTAGATTTTCAGGAGACAGATATGTGTACCTGACGTTAGATAATAAATTATGTTAGAGACTTTGAGTGTCTTTTGTCTTTACTTATGGGTCCTGCACTTGTGCTCTATGGCTTTTAAAAGAAAACAGAGAACAGGCTCCCATCCATTATGAAACACACTGGATACATTGTTTGGTTTGAGTAAGTAGAGTCACTTGACATGAAGCACAGGCTCAACCCTGTGGCACGACTGTGCATGCTGCTGAAATCCATTGTTTTCTCTGCAGACAGTTCAGGTTGCAGAAGTTTAGAGGCTCGGGTTTCTGGCTGGCATTATTTTTGGATCCTGGTGGCATTGGGAGCACGTCTTAGACAGAGAAGAGACTTTAAAGACTTGAGATAATATATTGGAGGGCTAATAATTCTCCAATTCCTTTATGGGATCCTCATGAGGGGACAATCAGCACAAGCTTGGTCACCGCTTTTGCCTTTTTCATTTCCTTAATGGAGACATGGTGACCCAGCAGGGTTTATGGGGGCTTATTCAGGGGAAAATATTTATGCTCTCAACAAGACATAAATGTTATACAAGGGTCCATACTTAAGATCTTCCAAGTAAACAGTACTGTAGATATAAGGGGATCAATACAGCTAAGAGATGATGGCAATTCATGATTGCTTTGCCACTGTAAATGTCAACTGAACTCAACTGAAGTTGCAGAGTGAGGGCTGAAACCCGCCAAATACACAGAGGTAGAACTCTGTAGAGTAAGATCTGCATAAATCAGACAGCTAATAAATCCGGGAGACCAATATGTTTTATCTATCCCCGGCATATAGTGGATTTACTGCCATGATCATGAATTCTTGAAAGGGAACAATTCAGTCACCTGTCAGATAAATCATCCATACGGCAGGCACTTCATGTACAAAAGCAAAATACAGGGGGAATAATTCCTCATTGTTTGTCAAAGGTTAAACAGGCAGTGCCACAGTGATTTACTCACAGTCATTATTTCCAAATTTCTCAGATCTTCCTGAAAAGTTATTCGATCAACATCTATTGCCAGATGAAAAAACACAAGATCCCTGTGCAACTAAAGATCTTTGGCTTCTAGACAACAAAACTTCAATAAAAGTAACATTACAACACAAATTATTAGATTATACTAGATATATTCACCTCAACAATTGAATAAACCTCTTTTGCCCATGGAGAACTGTGTGATTTTATCCACACAAACACCTTCTTATTTATTCTATCCTCTTCACATTTTAGTTTAACTGATCATGTCTCCCATGAATTGTCATAACTGGAAGCAAAGCTGTGGACCAACAGAAAACATTATATAGCTCTATTCTGTATGGCATCCACAATTTTAAATTCTTTTAAAACCCATATCCAGCATAGCTGATTGATTGCTAATCTCCATTCATAACACCATAAACTAACCATATTTAACATATATATGTCAGATTAAGCAGCATATGCCTGTATTAGCTTCCTTAATCCGTAGAGATAAGTCATTCACCAATATTGCAAAAGGAGTATCGAAGCAATGAGTCACTGAACATATCAAAATCTACTATCCACCCCGGCTTCCATAAGTTTAAAGGCAACCAAATCTCTGATAATCCAGTCAAAATCCTTTTGAAAGTCAACAAAATGTGCCAAAGTGGATTGGTGTCAGTTAATTCTACTTTTAATAATAGTTGATATTTAACGTATATGATCGATAAAGGCTTCTTTCTTTCTAAATCCATCATTTCTGCTCATCATTAAGATACTTGAGCATCATCTAAATACTGTTGTTGAGTATAAGTTAGATTTAACTTGACATAAGAACAAAGAAAAAACACAAATCCTTTGTAACTATTATCAAATATTTGGTGTGTAAAGAATATGTGGCAAGCACGATGAACAAAAATATTAAGAACCAAAGAAAATGTTTTGTGATGCACACAAAGTGACATAAACCATAAACCAATAACAGACATCTGTTGGAGGTCAATAAACAGCTGTGCGGAGCAGCACATGACTCATCGCAGGAGAACAGCGGTGGCACACAGGGTTAAAACCGCAAGAGATTTCAACTTAGCTACTTTTTCCAAGTAGCAGTGGCTGAAAATGGCTCTCACACGAAAAGTACACTATGCCATACTTTCAGTAATGATCACAGATTTGTACAGTAAATAGACTCTCAAGGCAGTTTTTTGGGGCAATAATCAGGCAGAGCAGAGCCAGCAAAATGTTTTGACAGTAATGACGTCTGATAACACACAACAATATTGTGGAAAAATATGAAAACTGTAGGAGTTCAATGAGGGACAATTTTAGATGAGCAGCGCTTGGATTTTCTGACACCAGGACAATATTTCACCCAGTGAAACTAAAATCTAATATTTACCTCATTTGATTCAGCGTATGAGCGAGGATAACCATTACTCACTGCAGTTAGATATTTTGTAAAGGATATATCAAACTGTGCGTGCGCTTCACAGTGAGGAGCGCTGCTT